CCCAATGCCACCACACTGGTCACGCCAAGCATTATGTACATCACTGACGGCCAGTATATCCTCACCTTAAACCCCATTGCCACCACACTGGTCACGCCAAGCATTATGTACATCACTGACGGCCAGTATATCCTCACCTTAAACCCCAATGCCACCACACTGGTCACGCCAAGCATTATGTACATCACTGACAGCCAGTATATCCTCACCTTAAACCCCATTGCCACCACACTGGTCACGCCAAGCATTATGTACATCACTGACGGCCAGTATATCCTCACCTTAAACCCCATTGCCACCACACTGGTCACGCCAAGCATTATGTACATCACTGACGGCCAGTATATCCTCACCTTAAACCCCATTGCCACCACACTGGTCACGCCAAGCATTATGTACATCACTGACGGCCATTAAACCCTCACCTTAAACCCCAATGCCACCACACTGGTCACGCCAAGCATTATGTACATCACTGACGGCCAGTATATCCTCACCTTAAACCCCAATGCCACCACACTGGTCACGCCAAGCATTATGTACATCACTGACGGCCAGTATATCCTCACCTTAAACCCCAATGCCACCACACTGGTCACGCCAAGCATTATGTACATCACTGACGGCCAGTATATCCTCACCTTAAACCCCAATGCCACCACACTGGTCACGCCAAGCATTATGTACATCACTGACAGCCAGTATATCCTCACCTTAAACCCCAATGCCACCACACTGGTCACGCCAAGCATTATGTACATCACTGACGGCCAGTATATCCTCACCTTAAACCCCAATGCCACCACACTGGTCACGCCAAGCATTATGTACATCACTGACGGCCAGTATATCCTCACCTTAAACCCCAATGCCACCACACTGGTCACGCCAAGCATTATGTACATCACTGACGGCCAGTATATCCTCACCTTAAACCCCAATGCCACCACACTGGTCACGCCAAGCATTATGTACATCACTGACGGCCAGTATATCCTCACCTTAAACCCCAATGCCACCACACTGGTCACGCCAAGCATTATGTACATCACTGACGGCCAGTATATCCTCACCTTAAACCCCAATGCCACCACACTGGTCACGCCAAGCATTATGTACATCACTGACGGCCAGTATATCCTCACCTTAAACCCCAATGCCACCACACTGGTCATGCCAAGCATTATGTACATCACTGACGGCCAGTATATCCTCACCTTAAACCCCAATGCCACCACACTGGTCACGCCAAGCATTATGTACATCACTGACGGCCAGTATATCCTCACCTTAAACCCCAATGCCACCACACTGGTCATGCCAAGCATTATGTACATCACTGACGGCCAGTATATCCTCACCTTAAACCCCAATGCCACCACACTGGTCACGCCAAGCATTATGTACATCACTGACGGCCAGTATATCCTCACCTTAAACCCCAATGCCACCACACTGGTCATGCCAAGCATTATGTACATCACTGACGGCCAGTATATCCTCACCTTAAACCCCAATGCCACCACACTGGTCACGCCAAGCATTATGTACATCACTGACGGCCAGTATATCCTCACCTTAAACCCCATTGCCACCACACTGGTCACGCCAAGCATTATGTACATCACTGACGGCCAGTATATCCTCACCTTAAACCCCAATGCCACCACACTGGTCACGCCAAGCATTATGTACATCACTGACGGCCAGTATATCCTCACCTTAAACCCCATTGCCACCACACTGGTCACGCCAAGCATTATGTACATCACTGACGGCCAGTATATCCTCACCTTAAACCCCAATGCCACCACACTGGTCACGCCAAGCATTATGTACATCACTGACGGCCAGTATATCCTCACCTTAAACCCCAATGCCACCACACTGGTCATGCCAAGCATTATGTACATCACTGACGGCCAGTATATCCTCACCTTAAACCCCAATGCCACCACACTGGTCACGCCAAGCATTATGTACATCACTGACGGCCAGTATATCCTCACCTTAAACCCCAATGCCACCACACTGGTCATGCCAAGCATTATGTACATCACTGACGGCCAGTATATCCTCACCTTAAACCCCAATGCCACCACACTGGTCACGCCAAGCATTATGTACATCACTGACGGCCAGTATATCCTCACCTTAAACCCCATTGCCACCACACTGGTCACGCCAAGCATTATGTACATCACTGACGGCCAGTATATCCTCACCTTAAACCCCAATGCCACCACACTGGTCACGCCAAGCATTATGTACATCACTGACGGCCAGTATATCCTCACCTTAAACCCCATTGCCACCACACTGGTCACGCCAAGCATTATGTACATCACTGACGGCCAGTATATCCTCACCTTAAACCCCAATGCCACCACACTGGTCACGCCAAGCATTATGTACATCACTGACGGCCAGTATATCCTCACCTTAAACCCCAATGCCACCACACTGGTCACGCCAAGCATTATGTACATCACTGACGGCCAGTATATCCTCACCTTAAACCCCATTGCCACCACACTGGTCACGCCAAGCATTATGTACATCACTGACGGCCAGTATATCCTCACCTTAAACCCCAATGCCACCACACTGGTCACGCCAAGCATTATGTACATCACTGACGGCCAGTATATCCTCACCTTAAACCCCAATGCCACCACACTGGTCACGCCAAGCATTATGTACATCACTGACGGCCAGTATATCCTCACCTTAAACCCCAATGCCACCACACTGGTCATGCCAAGCATTATGTACATCACTGACGGCCAGTATATCCTCACCTTAAACCCCAATGCCACCACACTGGTCACGCCAAGCATTATGTACATCACTGACGGCCAGTATATCCTCACCTTAAACCCCATTGCCACCACACTGGTCACGCCAAGCATTATGTACATCACTGACGGCCAGTATATCCTCACCTTAAACCCCAATGCCACCACACTGGTCAGGCCAAGCATTATGTACATCACTGACGGCCAGTATATCCTCACCTTAAACCCCATTGCCACCACACTGGTCACGCCAAGCATTATGTACATCACTGACGTCCAGTATATCCTCACCTTAAACCCCAATGCCACCACACTGGTCACGCCAAGCATTATGTACATCACTGACGGCCAGTACCGTATATGACCGCGTATAAGCCGAATTTTGAGGACCAGAAAAAAGATTCTGTAGAAAGGGGTCGGCTTATCCACGGGATATACTTTCATGATAGTATTTTTCAGATCGTGATCTGTCAGAAACATCGCCTGAATGACGGTCCGATAGATTACAACTTCCCGAAAGTTTGGAAGTTGCCACGACTAGAGCCATTATTGTTATAAATTATCAATAAAGTTATTATTATACACCAATGTTGTCATTATTAAAAAAATGTTATGCATGTTGCTACTTCCGATAATAAGTTTTCAATTGAATGTTCAAAGTTTATCGTTCTTCGTAAACTCCACAATCTTTACATGTAACAATATATGTAATTCACAGCTATAATATATAATCCCCAGATAAAATCGCCAATAGCTATTACGTACGTTTTTCAAAGTTCATAAATTGATAGTGAACAAGTGTCTACCTTTATTGAAAGAGGCAAATAAACAACTGTATCGGCGAGTTATTCCGTTCGCCATTTGCAAAAACATGTGATCAGCTGTTTCCTGTGACGTCACAAACGGTGACCACTGTGATTGCTTCCTGTTGTTTAAAGCAACACGGTACACAAGGAAATGAGCATTGATAATAACAGGGCCGATTGGTATTGTCAGGTTGTTTACACAAACATTTTCAAGTTGTGGGTGCTTAGCGATCGTGTTGGGAGTAGGGGCTTAATTCCTTTGTTTTCGAGAGATTAGTTTAATAAACTGGAAAAGCCTGTGAGTAAGTGATGGTCATTCAATGTGTTCATAGTATGATAGTTTATTTAATTCAATTGGATTAACATACAATATTGGTGTAAAGGGGGTTATAAAAGTTGGTATATTTTTACTGACTGACGTTTTCATCATGAGTTTTAAACGAAACGCCATGCTTACGATGCTGAATTCGAACTGCGAGTCTTCGCTCCAGCTGATATATTTTCTCACGGGTTCATAATTCTATATACACCGACTCACAAAATGGCGCTTCGTTGTTGATGGCAACATATAACGATCATTATGAGATTAAAAAACCCCCCGAGAAACAGCTTCCCACATTATGAAAGTGGATGAATGGTTTGTTAAATCTTTATTAGAAATAATAATGACTTTTTCAATATAATCACAACGTTTTTCATCTTATATTTTTTAATATCTGCGAGTACCGGCACATGTCTTTCAGTCTGACTTCGCAGTGTTTTTTGTCTTTCAATTCCTGATTCGGCTTATCTGCGGATCATATCATTTTCTTTCGTATTTCAATGGTCAAATTAACACCTCGGCTTATCTACGGGGTCGGCTTATCCGCGGTCATATACGGTATATCCTCACCTTAAACCCCAATGCCACCACACTGGTCACGCCAAGCATTATGTACATCACTGACGGCCAGTATATCCTCACCTTAAACCCCAATGCCACCACACTGGTCACGCCAAGCATTATGTACATCACTGACGGCCAGTATATCCTCACCTTAAACCCCATTGCCACCACACTGGTCACGCCAAGCATTATGTACATCACTGACGGCCAGTATATCCTCACCTTAAACCCCAATGCCACCACACTGGTCACGCCAAGCATTATGTACATCACTGACGGCCAGTATATCCTCACCTTAAACCCCAATGCCACCACACTGGTCACGCCAAGCATTATGTACATCACTGACGGCCAGTATATCCTCACCTTAAACCCCAATGCCACCACACTGGTCACGCCAAGCATTATGTACATCACTGACGTCCAGTATATCCTCACCTTAAACCCCATTGCCACCACACTGGTCACGCCAAGCATTATGTACATCACTGACGTCCAGTATATCCTCACCTTAAACCCCAATGCCACCACACTGGTCACGCCAAGCAGGGGGGAAATCTTGGAATTGAACTCTGGGATACAGAGAGCTGGACATCCTCGACTGGCAGCCAATGGGATGAGGTGTTTGGTGATGAGAGAGGGTTTCGTAGATCGGCATACTATAATAAGGTCGAGGTCATCCTTCTCCAAGCCTCGTGTGACCTCCCTGACACCACACACAATCTGCGATCTGTGGACACATGACAACGTTATTCTTATCCTCACATTATGTCCCATGGGCTTGTAGCCTGACTGCGTTACTGAAATTAACTTACGAAGACAGTCGTTAGGAGTCCAAGTTTATGAGTGGCCTTTTTTCTTAGAGTCAACAAGATTCAGCTTAACAAGTAAATACACACAAGTTGACATCACATGGACAAAGTAAAAATATCAAAATGACACTCCTACTTGATCAAAATACAAAAACTTATTTACACCTTGAAAATCTCAGACAAACTTTCATTTCAGTAGTTTATACAAATAAATTTAACAACATTGTCATCAAGAAAATCAAGAACCCACGAGCACAAGTATGGTGCTGACAAACCTAGAAACATAATTGGGGCGAACCGGGGTTCGAACCCACAATCATAGGTTTCTGGCGTGCCCAAGGGACCCAACTCTGCACAGCAAATCGTGGTGCCTTAGACGACTGGGCCACCCGTGCCCCCATCACCTCTTTTGACCAAATCCTAACGAGGAATTGATTTTACACAGGATGACCCTGTACCTGAGTTTCCGTCTCTCATTTTCAGCATTCTTTTCTTCATCACACAACTGCTGTTCGTTATCTGTTTGCTTCTTCCCCTTAAAGTATGATGCAGGTCTCCTTGGCAATTTGATAGGGACAGACTTCAGCACGCTGAAACAGTAATACAACATGTACAAAAATCTCATTAAAATCAGATCTTAGTTCTCGCCAAGGCTCGCTAAATACAATGTTTATTCCTAATGCAGGATATTTACCATCCCCAAACACACTCGCGTGATAACCTCTATTTATTCACCTGAATTTGCTGAAGGGATACGATGTGGGTTTTTTTAAAGAGCATATTAATACTCGATAAATCTTTTTTTACACTATGAATCATAAACAGCTTCTATTCTAGAACTTTTTTTTTAAACTCTAAAACATGCAACGTAGATCGTGTTAGGTAGGCAGAGCATGTATACTGTTTTGTTGGTCATCTACCACCTACGACACGACCTTCATTAAACCGCTGATCATCTATAACGCTCATCAATTATTTGGACCCTGAAGGTAGCGTTGTAGCGAGCGATCACTGTATGAACAGGCTACCTGTTCTCATAGATGATCAAGTTCTTCAGTGCTTAAGTGTGTACATCTCTCACAAAACTATTGCCACATAGTGAAATACCTTATTTGGGTTGAGGAAATACTGCTGTAAATAATCGCAAACTAGCTTCCACAGGAGATATAGCTTGGGAGAGATATGGCTACAATGAAATCGTATCACAACGCTTTTCAGACCATTGGCTGGTTGGTTGGTTTGTTGTTTTACGCCGCACTCAGCAATATTCCAGCTATATGACGGCGGTCTGTAAATAATCGAGTCTGGACCAGACAATCCAGTGATTGACATCATGAGCATCGATCCACGCAATTGGGATCGATGACATGCACCAACGAAGTCAGCGAGCCTGACCACCCGATCCCGTTAGTCGCCTTTTACGACAAGCATAGTCGCCTTTTACGGCAAGCATGGGTTGCTGAAGACCTTTCAGACCATTGAGACATCATCAGTTACCTTGATGTTACTATCAAATGACCAACAAAACTCTCTGCCACAGAACCTGCCCAGCTGTACTTTTTACAAACAGGACACTGCTTATTAATGTTTACAAGCTGAAAAATTTGGAAGAATGATGTTGCATGATAGATACAATCTCACCCTCGCACCTTGGAACTTATGGTAAGTGAGTGAGTTGGGTTTAACGCTGCTTTTTTAACAGTATTCCAGTTATATCGCAGCGTGTCAGCTTTATGTGGGAGGAAAGCCTAAAGGGATGCAGGTCTCAGACGTTTACCACTTCGGTGAAACCCACGAGTATGGTAATGGTGCTGACAAACCTAGAAACATAATCGGGGTGAACCGGGATTCGAACCCACAATCATGGGTTTCTTGCGCGCTCAAGGGACTCAACTCTGCACAGCAAATTGCGGCGCCTTAGACGACTGGGCCACCCTCGCGCCTTGGAACTTATGGACTTGTGTCTCATATGTGTTTCATATCAAAAGATATGAGGGAGAGATTGTCTATGAGTCTAAACCTGGCGAACTGGCGATGACAAGTCACTGAGTGTGATACACTTTTACAGACTCTCTTATCCAAATACAAATCTTACAACTAGCAATGGAGTGCCTAGGGCCTATTTTAAATGGTTTGTTTGTAGTTTAATGCCACACTCAGCAATATTCCAGCTATATGACAGCAGTCTGTATATAATTGAGGCTGGAACAGACAATCCAGTGATTGACATCATGATCATCAATCTACACCCGATCCAGTTAATCCCCTCTTATGACAAGCGTGGGTTGCTGAAGACCAACCTGAATCGTCACCAGTAATTTGAAAGGGTCCCCACAGAGCACTGATCAGTCACATAAAGCAATGATACAGCTGACTGCTACATTAAACAAAACTGTCTCCTAAGTCAATGATTAACTCAAATTATTGCAGTACCATACCTCTGCAGCTCATCCAGGATTCTTCCTTCAAAATATTTGTCTATCACTGGCCTGAAATAAAACATAAGATGTAATACTGTACAGGTTTTAGGCTAAAATAAATAACTGTAGTCTTGGTTCTCAGGCTCTGCCCACATCATCATAAAGTTCAGTTCACGTTTTGTTTTTGTTACAATTTTCTAATTTTTGTGTGCATTGTGTTTAAGTATTAGGATTTTTATATTTTTTTTAAACGGATATAAAAGCAAAACGTGCGGCAGACTTTATGATGATGCGGTAGGTGCCTGAGAACCAAGACTATTTTTATTATTTTGTTTAGCCTTATCATGTGGAAACATCTACATGTACAGATGGAACAGACACGGTCATGTTACTGATGGTGCCATGGCAGAATTGAACTGACACATTTCCTGTCTGTTACTATTGGTATTACCGTATTTGACATAATAAGCGCCCCGCTCTAATAAGCGCCCACAGCGATATTTGCTAATATATTGGCTAGTGAACAATCCCAATTAGCACCCCTTCAGATTGATCAATGTACACAAGACTTATTTATTCGTGTATAATACGCACTCGTGTGTTATATGCACCGTTAATTATGGGGAATTAAATTCTGGAAAAATATATCTGTCGTACATATACATTTCAAGCTGTCGGCATAAACCACAAAATTTATCTTTCAACTCTGTTTTTTTAACCAAAATAATATTCGGATAAGAGCCCCCTATTTCTAATTTGAGAGCGCCCAGGGCGCTTATTACGTCAAATACGGTATTAGTGTGGTTGCGGTAATGTCCTACCCCTAAAAATTACGAGACACCAGATTTCGTACCGAATGGAAGACACTTTAGTCTGTTATATATAAATGCTGGTCGCCATGATCAGTTTACGACCAAGCCAAATACACCTGGCATGGAATCCGGAATTGTCCTGCATTATTGTACTGACACTATTCACAGGGCACTACTGTTTGCCGACACAACACAAAATAAAAATAAGCGGTCATTTTTTCACGTATTGCGAGCTCTCTTAAGATATTTTAAAAACAATAGATAAAGGTGACATGCCATTTGTATGCAAAGGGATTAAATAAGACATTCTTGTGCTTCTTTATTTCTTTCTTTTGCTTCTGTTTCACCGTCTCTCCTAAAGTTGATTTAGTTTCACCCTTTGAAAGCATGGGCGCGGCCATTTTGTAGGGGAGGTCACTCTAATATTTCCAATCGCTTCCGATTTTGTTCGTGAGTTTTTCCCGCCACCTTGCGAAAGGGTGAAGATTGTTGATAGTTGAAATAACATAAACATGCCGCCAAGCAGACGATCCTCGAAACAGTCGAGCTCAGAAAAATCAACATCACCTGGAACGAAGAAGTCTAACGATGCACAATCTCAATGGATTATGATGGTTGAAGGTGCGTATGCAACAGATGACACTCACAACACAGTTGATAAGAAGTTTAAATTTAGACTGCGCGATGTCTTACTTTTATGGATCGAATTTGCCAGTGCATCAAGGGTATTGGTTTAGGGATTTACATAAGTATTAATCACATATTATAAGATATCATTTTTAGGAAAGATATTTTTTCACTATTTATGGACCCGCCTGATAAACTTACGAAATCATGTCTTGACTTCCGAACACTGTCGCAACGTTTCTTACACACTGTTTACCATAACTGACTGTGCACACATACCTTAGAGTTTGCTGTTTCATGCCGAGTTACAATTATGCCTATCCATCTACCTTTGTCAATATGTTTGTTTTTTTTTTGTTTTTTTTAACGCCACACTCAGCTATATGAAACTGTAAAAAACTCAAGCCTGGATCAGACAATCCAGTGATTAACATCGATCTGTGCAATTGGGATAAGATGACATGCGTCAGTCAGCCAGCCTGACCACCCAATAATATTTTTCTTTTTTTTCTTTTATTGTTTTTAGAAAGACGCACCTGTTACATAAATGGGCTTCCGCCCAGGGTAGCAGAAAGCCCATGACATAAAGCACAACTTATCAGTACATCTTACTTTGTTGTTTTTTTTACAGAAAATAACATACTTCTCACTCACACATTCACTCTTGTTTATATATCATATTGCAGTTTAGGAAAGTACATGGTCTCAAACATTAAAATCTTACGTACAAAACTAAAATTAAATTGAAAGCTGCGCCTCATTTTCGAAAAGTTGATGATACAGCATCCAAGCACCATAGAATTTCTGTTGATTACCTGTCTTGAAAGCAATATCTTTTTCAATGTTGTATCGTGAAAAAGCTTCCTTTTTATAAACATGAAAATAAGGTTTTGTATTTTGGAATTTGCATCTATAACCCAATAATATTAGTTGCCCCTTATGAACATGTTATGGCAAGCATAGTCGCCTCAAGAAGCATGGGTTGCTGAAGACCAAATCTTACATGGGTCTTCACTGGTGACCTTTGTCAATGAGATACCAGTCACATTAACGAAAATATCAACACCTGGTTCACACCCATTGGTATGATAAAAAGTAGATCTATCTCAAGAAAATATTGTTTAGTTTCGGAAAGTAAGTATTTGCGCGTGTCTCTACGATCCTAGGATTAGTGTGGGTTGTCCCCTAACTCTATCCTTAGCCCTTGGATCCTTGAATACAACTAGTGGTGAACATAGTGTAGCGGCCATAAAATTTTCCGAGTCCCGTGATGGGATTCGAACCACGGACCTTCTGATCCGAGGTTGGACGCCTTGTCCACATGACCAAAGAGGTTAACCCCGTCAGTAAGCTGACAAGTAAGGATGTCATCTGTGGGACGACTCCACGCCCTGCTACAATAGCATCTCCCAATACCCAAACACAAACCATCCTTAACCCAAGGATCGAAGATGGATCTTTGATAGTAAAGATGGCCCTAAGAGGAAGTTGAAAAGATAGTTTTCCATGGTTTTCACAGCACAGGTAGCCCAACGACTAATGCTCTAAAAGAAGACTTATACAGTAAAGACATTCCAGCTATATGACGGCGGTCTGTAATTAATCAAGTCTGGACCAGACAATCCAGTGATTGATATCATGAGCATCGATCCACGCAATTGGGATCGATGACAGCGTTAGAAATTGGCACTAGTCCTGTAGTCCTTACCAAACTGCCCAATAGTAAAGGTATCCTAGGGACTAGTAGAAATTGGCTCATTTTAAGGGTTTTGCTATATATGTTATCATTATAAGGACTAGTGGACAAAAACTGTTAGTTTCTAACCCTGGATGACATGCCAAGTCACCAAACCTGACCACCCGGTCCCGTTAGTCGCCTTTTACGGCAAGCATGGGTTGCTGAAGACCTATTCTACCCCGGATCTTCATGGGTCTCCAAGTAAGCACTGCATGCTATGATGGGAGTATGCTTTTAATTAAATGTTCCAATTTAAGTTTATTATCGACCTGTTGCAAGTGTTGTATTCAATCTGGCCTTGATTGTTCCACTTGCAGATTGTGTGTTGGACGATGATGGTGGAAATGAAGAAAGTCGGCCTGTCATGTGCAAATTGAGACACCCCAAATCTGGTAAGTGTTTTTAGGGTAGTGCTATTTACAACATGCACATACCGTATTCGGCATAATAAGCGCCCAGGGCACTCTCAAAAGTAGAAAAAGGGGGCTCTTCTTAGAATATTATTTTGGTGGGAAAAAAACAGTTGAAAGATAAATTTCGTGGTTTATGCTGACAGCCTTAAATGTTTATGTACGACAGATATATTTTTCCAGAATTTAATTCCCCATAATTAAGGGTGCATATAACACACGAGTGCGTATTATACACAAACAAAAGAGTCTTGGGAACATTGATCAATCGGAAGGGGTGCTAATTGGGATTGTTCATGAGCCAATATATTAGCAAATATCGCTGTGGGCGCTTATTGGAGCGGGGCGCTTATTACGTCGAATACGGTATCTACATTCAGGGATTAATCCAAACTAAACACCATTAGCAGACAAATTTGGAACAAATTGTAAAATATTTCAAAATTGGGATTGTTTTTCGAGTTCTTATTTTCTTAATTAATCAAATCCTCTTCCTCCTTGTTGGGCCTGTTATGAGTGAGTGAGTGAGTTTGGTTTTACGCCGCTTTTAGCAATATTCCAGCAATATCACGGCGGGGGACACCAGAAATGGGCTTCACACATTGTACCCATGTTGGGAATCGAACCCGGGTCTTCGGCGTGACGAGCGAACGCTTTAACCACTAGGCTACCCGATTGCCCCCCTGTTATGAGTGATCACAACTATTTCAACATGACTTGCGAACATTTAATTCCCATTTGCAGAGCTCCAGATAAGCTTTTGGTGTTGTGGGTATTTTACCCATGCATTTTAAAATCATTGGGTATCAGTAATTCTATCTGGGTATTCAAATTTCTGTTACCCACTAGTTTTTACACATGTGGGTATTTAACAGAGCTCCAGATAAGCTTTTGGTGTTGTGGGTAGTTTACCCATGCATTTTAAAATCATTGGGTATCAGTAATTCTATCTGCGTATTCAAATTTCTGTTACCCACTAGTTTTTACACATGTGGGTATTTAAGTTAAATATTTAAAAACACTATTCATCTAGTCCCTGCAAACTGGTGTTGTGTGGGTTCGAGAGCTTTATAGGACTCAAAAATACCACGATACTTCCACAAGAAAGTGTGATGGCAAATGATCATGATGTAACTGTCATCGTGGAATTTGGCAAGGTTGACGGAATGGCCGTTTATAATTTCCAAACAAGTTGCTGATTTGCTAATGGAATACACAGGGTTACTTCACAATATTTTGAAGATATGCACAAGTTTTATTTTTGTAGCTTATCTGTAATGTTCGCTGCGCATTTGATATGCTTGGAATTTATTTTACTGCATATTTCTGCATTTCTGATGCGTATTTTACGCAGATACGCAGCTTATCTGGAGCTATGCATTTTGGGAATTTTACCAACATGCTGTAGACTTGGGTCCACAGGCCTCAAAGTTTAATTTTTTACCAAGTAGCCATATTGCTTCAAGTAATTTTTCCAGGTAGCCAGTGGTAAAATCAAGAAGTCAAGCCAATAGCGTAGGTAGCCAGAAGCAGTGATAGAAATTGACACTAGTCCTGTAGTCCTTGCCAAACTGCCCAGTAGTTAAGGTATCATAAGGACTAGTAGAAATTTGCCATTTTTAAGGATTTTGCTATATGTTATCATTATAAGGACTAGTGGACTAAAACTGTTAGTTTCTACCACTGCAGAAGCCATTGTATTAATCTTTTATCAAACAACTATTATAAGTACAAGTCATTTGCAAACCGTGAAGATCCGGGGTAGAATAGGTCTTCAGCAACCCATGCTTGCCGTAAAGGGTGACTATGCTTGTCATAAGAGGCGACTAACGGGATCGGGTGGTCAGGCTCGCTGACTTGGTTGATGCATGTCATCGGTCCCAATTGCATGGATCGATGTTCATGATGTCAATCACTGGATTGTCTGGTCCAAACTCAATTATTTACAGACTGCCATCATATTGCAGGTATATTGCTGAGTGCAGCGTTAAACAGCAAACAAACAATACAAGTCATACCACAAGTCTTGGAATTGTATATTAGTGGAAACTGTACTTGAGTTTTGTTATTTGTGACTCAAACAATGATGCAATTTATTTTACAAGATTATCTAGGTATCCAATAAACTATCAACTAAAATAAATTAAAATACTAATTACATTAATATTTATGTATTTCGGTTCATTGTTGACTTTAAGAGGAATTATTTGCGAGTACCGTTAGCAGCAAACACGTTTATTTTTGTGTCTACATATGTGTAGCAATAGAATTTAGTCGCCACAAGATATTTTTCAAGGTAGTTAATATAAGTTATTTGGCTCCCTCTGAATTTTAGACAGTAGACAAATTAAAATATAGGTCACATTGACAACCGTTTTAGTTGCAACTCTGAGGCCTGGCCCAATATCGGGCCTTGGTAAAGCCCTGCTCTGAGTAAACAGTTCAAGGCAATAACAGGATAAGAAATAAAAACAGCCCAGCAAAACAAACCACTTGGGCTTGTCACATTTACATGCAGGCCTCAACTTGTTAATTATCCTTGTCAAAGATTAAGTACAAGAGTCATCAATGTTATGCTCGCTCGCTTGCTCTCTCTCACTCATTCACTCACTCACTCACAAATATGAAGAACAACTTTGAAAACCATCATTTACATTTTTTATTTGTGCACCTGACCTAAAAAGTCAAACTCTTCCATTTTTACTGAAACTTTTGTGTGCCCTACTTGTGGATTTTGTTCAAATTTAGTTTAAATTTAGTTTAAAGATTCCATACTAATAGAAGAGGTGCAGTGCAGAGTTTGATTTTGATACAGTGTTCCCTCGTTATTGCGCCCTCAATATAGCGCTAATTCGGTTATAGCGCGTGGTAAAGCATGGCTCCCCAAATTTACTAACATTTTCAATAAACTCAAGTTTTCCAATGACACGATGTTTTCCCCCATCTCAGAAAACATTATCAGTTGATCACCGCGATCACGATCACGTAACACCGGAAATGCCAGTCAACAAATCCGAACCGAAGTATGCAATTTATTCCTATCATTATAATATCTGGTAATAAAAAAAAGTTCATTGTTTATCTGGACTAATGTTGCAATATATAAATTTTAATTATATTTAAAATTTCATTCAATTATTAGATTCTATAATAATGTTTGCAATAATTTCGTCGAAGTCGTATGCGAAGTGATCGGTAGATCGCTCGATCGCACAACTCACAGTTATTAACAGCAACCACGGTCAGATTACCGCCATTGACGCCTTGAAACGAACTTTAGTTGCAAGAGAATGGATACACATACCATAAATGCCGTACCATGACTTGGTAAAAGTCATATTTGAGGCAGTTTGACAATTAAACGTCAACATAACGTTTTCGCTATCAAAATACATATAGCGCTGGAAGTCCCTACGTTGACTGATCAAAATCGTTTCATACGGCAAAAAATGTCCTGCAAGCTACACTTGTCGTTCTTCTAATTTTAAGAATATATGGTGGAAGCTGCAACTAAAATAACACGATATTGGAATATATTATTCCTGATAAAATAATAATATCAGATACATATCTTCCGACCATTGCATCAAATTTCTTTAAAGTGGGATCACTGGGTACGTGTTAACTGAATCACCGGTAGATTGGGAATAAAAGTGTGCACAGCTGATTGCTATTTCCGGCCTAGTTTATGAGAAAATACACACGGTAATCTTAATCTCTGCATATAAAAGAATACCTTAGAGAGCAGTAAATACATTGTAAATGGTAAATCATCATGTCTAGTGATGTTTTATATCAAATTTCATACTTTTATTGACCAAGTTTGTTGCCGATCTACCTGTTTATTCACCTGAAGGGATACGATGTTTTTGTTTTTTTGAAAGCGCATATTAATACTCGATAAATCTTTTTCTACACTATGAATCATAAATAACTTCTATTCTAATCTTTTTTGAATGTGTTAGGTAGGCAGGGCATGTATACTGTATTGTTGGTCATCTACCACCTACGACTCGCCCTTCATTAAACTGCTGATCATCTATAACGTTCATCAATTATTTGGACCCCGAAGGTAGCGTTGTAGCGAGGGATCACTGTATGTGGATTTCTGAGAATTTTTTTTTTTTTTCTGTACCAGTAGCAGTGGTGCAGTGGTAACTTACTTGAACATTCTTCAAAATGACAATCAATCTTGGATCAAAATATTAATCAATGGAATTTATGTCAAGTCAAGTGTACTGTATCTGGCAAAGCTTGCCTATGATACCCCAGTGCATCTTTGAATCATGCCATTACTATGTTGTATTATTGTGCTTTTTAAAAGAAACTGGCTTACCAGCATTAGAAATTGGCACTAGTCCTGTAGTCCTTACCAAACTGCCCAATAGTAAAGGTATCATAAGGACTAGTAGAAATTGGCCCATTTTTGCTATATGTTATCATTTTATAAACCTATTCATTGGGATCGCTATTAAGTAAGAGACTTCTTTCTATAGGCATTAAAACCTATTGTGAGGTTTTACTTTCCAGTCGGGTTAAATCTCATAAACAGGGACGTTGTAATGTCCCTAGGATTTTAAAGGATATTCAAGTCATATTTGCTATTATATCCCAGGGATTTTATATTATGTCCTGGGTATTTTATTAATGTAACTTCCGTTCAGATTGTAACATGTAATGAAATGTAAAATCAAATGACAAATGTTTTCTTTATATTCCGGAGGATCGAACTCGCAACCTTCATATCTGTAGCCCAGTGAGTGTACCACGAGGCTACAGAGGTGTTGATAAGCCACAGTGGTTTTTAGAATGTTTTTTGGAAGATCCGTACACCAGCAACAGATATTTTACGCGCGGTTCCTAAGGTTCATGGAAAGTATGTCCGAAACATAAAAATGTTGATAAATGTTGTTTTAAGTTTTTTCGGTTAATAAGTATGGAAAAACAGTTTCCCTCGGTTTTGGTAGACAGAGCATGCCCTGGGGGTCGGGAAAAACCGCGGGGGCTTCACAGTGGGGAGTTTTGACTGGTGGCAGTGATAGTATAGAGAGCTCCGCAGACTGGGCTATCGCTGTGAGGAGCTTGGTCTTTCAGACATGGGAGAAGAACTTTTCTCCGTAATACCCATAAATACATTTTACTTGAATTTGGCGGGGATATTGGTGACCCTATCTTCTTGTGTCTAATCTCATATTTCTGTTTGTTTGCATGTACTTCTATATTTTTTATGTTCCTTTAATCACAGATTCTGGCTGCCTGTTCTTGTTCGCCAATGGAGGACGAGACGTGTATGAAGCTATACAATATAAAGAGGAATTCAGATCTTGGTTTATTGGAGATACAGTTCAACATGGTGGGTCTTCAAAACGGAGATAAATTTATTTTAGATAAAGCACCGCTAATCATTGTGCAGAGTTGTGTCCCTTAGGTGTGCCAGAATCCAAAGCATGTGTACCTCAAACATTGCGTCAACAGATATTTTCCAAATCTTTTCAAGTTTTTAATCAAGGTGCTTAAGAGATTTGATGCACTTCGGGATGTAAGACCCCAGTTATTACCTACAACATAGATTTTTATTGTCGATCAAAATGTCTTGACTCGGCACCGTCATTTATTTTAAGCAAATGCAAGTGACTCTGATTGGTCAATAGGATTGACATAGAAGACACATAACTCATAATAGCCACTGGTGGCGCTACGATCGAGCCTAGAAATCCAGCCTAGTTCGGCAAGGGTGGAAACTGGACTTTTAAAGTCAGTTATCTCCCTTGTCTCGGGAAGATAAGTGGAATATTGCTGACTGAGATTTAACAACAAACATTGGTGTTTCAGACGGAGGGATGCTGATGCTGACGACGGTGGACCCGCTGTTCCTGGTGATGCCGTACCTATTGAAGGTGGGGCAGGTGGGTGGCACGGCTTCCGGCTTCGATGCCAGGAGTCCGCTAATTCTGAAACAAGTGAAATCTAGAAAAATTACCTGCTGTCTCTCTCAACCCCCCTAAATGAGGTGTAAACTTGTTGCGTGCAGAGCTTTAACATATGGTAACCAGAGTTTTGACACGTCACAGAAATGGACGACCAGTACTCAAAATGTCTAGAATAGATGCAGAATCAAAATACAAGGAACGTACATATATGTTCATTGATCCAAATTCTTGACAAGAAATATGATTGATTGATTGTTTGTGTGTTTAACGCTGCACTCAGCAATATTCCAGCTATATGATGGCGGTCTGTAAAATAATCGAGTCTGGACCAGAAAATCCAGTGATTGACATCATGAGCATCGATCCACGCAATTGGAATCGATGACATGTATCAACCAAGTCAGCGAGCCTGACCACCCGATCCTGTTAGTCGCCTTCTACGACAAGCATAGTCGCCTTTTACGGCAAGCATGGGTTGCTGAAGACCTATTCTACCCCGGATCTTTAATTTCTACGGTCTAAAATTCAGAAGTAGCCAAATGGCTACCACATATGTAGACACAAAAATAGCTGATCTTGGAAAACATGTCTGCTAATAATTGTACTCGCGAATAATTCCTCCTAAAGTCGACAGTGAACCAAAATACATAAATGTTAATGTAAATAGTATTTTATTTTATTTGACAATGCTCATTGGATAAGCAAGGATATACCTATATAATCTAGTAACATAAATTGCATCATTGTTCGAGTCACAAAAAACAAAAATCAAGTACAGTTTCCACTAATATACAATTCCAAGAGTAGTGCTATGACTTGTACATATTATAATAGTTATTTGATAAAAGATTTCAAATGCTTTTGGCTACCTACAATATTGGCTTGACTTCTTGATTTTACCACTGGCTACCTGGACAAAAAATACTTGTAGACATATGGCTACTTGATTAAAATTAAACTTTGAGGCCTGTCTGGTAATTAATGTAATTATCAAATCAAACATCTCTAAAATGTTCAAAATTCAACCAGACCTTAGTATCTTTAATAGATGTGAAACTGCATCAGACTAGCAGGTTAGTGCTTATTTCTGTCCATGCCTATGACCGCCTCCGTGGTCTTTTGGTAGAGCGTCCGCCCGGAGAGCCGAAGGTCCGGGGTTTGATCCCCGGATGCGTCATACAAAAAGACGTTAAAAGGTGGTACTTGTTGTTACCCTGTCTGGCGCTCGGCATTAAGGGGCTAAAACAAGGACTGGTCGGCTCGGAGTCAGTATACTGTGTCTGAGTGGGGTATTCATGTGCTAGCACTATAAATCGGCATCAGTCCGGACTAGTACAAGCAGACACACACACACACACACACACACACACACACACACACACACACACACACACACACACACACACACACACACACACACACACACACACACACACACATAGGTCACATATAAGTGCAATAATCTTGGACGCGATGTTAAACCCCATTTCACCTCACCTGTCCATGTTTACAGTACCTTTCTTTATAGGACCCTCATATTTCCTCAAGGAATTATTGGGAGGTCCCCTGGACCCCTGGTTTGTAGGTCAAGGTAAAATCCTGTTATTATAACAGTAACACTATTTTTCAGGGAATTATCATTTGCAGAAGCCTGAGGTCTTCCATAATGCCCTGAAAAATAGCGTTACCGTTATTATAGCTAAAATGGATGGAATTTATTATCAAATATAACGAAACACCAATATCGGGTTTTGAAACATTTACTGCAATCAACACGAATGTCACTGACCAACTTTTACAAATATGGAAACGGCATAGAACAAACCAGATGACGTCACTATTGAATGTGACATCACCTATCCCTATCCTATGACGTCACCTAACAACGGGCGTGATAATGGCCCGAGGGCATTATCAAGTTACAGTGGCCGCTCATTTCTGATAACATGGGGGCGGTTTAATAATAATTCTATCCATTTTAGCTATAATGTCCTTTAGTCTACTCCATTTAAACCTTCCAATATTTTTAAATATTAATACATAGTGAACTTTTGATTTGCCTCCCCCCCCACTCCCGCTTCCCCCCCCCCCCCCTCCCAAATTAAAGCCACTCCAATAATTTCTTTGCTTAACTGTATTTTTGAGTCAATATTCCAGGAAGCATTAGTTATAATTAAATGAAAAACTGTCAATATTGATCAGAGATTAATTTCCTTTAATTATTTTTTAATTTAAATTTTACAAAACAATTCAAATACAGCATTTTTCTCAAAATTTGCTCAATGAAACAATATTTTGTGTAGACAATATAATAAATTCCTCTATTTCTCTAGATTGCTAGATCGAGTCATGATAAGTTTATGTGTAAATCTAGCGGAGGTCGTCTCTCTGCTGTAAGCCACTGCATTTTAATAAGTGATATTCTGTGTTGCAGTCTGGGAAATTCATGACTTTGGACCAGATTGTGATTGATGAGGATTACCCAGAATGCAACAGACTGCATGGCTGCTCAGGATTAAGTGAGCTGCATCAGATCACAGAGGTCAAAGGTACTTCTTCTCGCAACATTTTTTAGGATCAAGGTCACTTTAAGTTTTTCATAGTTTGTGGATGCAAGTAACACTGTGTATATAATGTATGCTGTCTGCATGGACTCGCATGCTAGCAGAAGAAATATGCTTGACAACAAACATTACCATGGTTACTCTGACCATGGGGGACACGGGTGGCCCAGTCGTCTAAGGCGCCGCGATTCGCTGTGCAGAGTTGCGTCCCTTGGGCACGCGAGAAACCTATGATTGTGGGTTGAATCCTGGTTTGTTCCGATTATGTTTCTAGGTTTGTCAGCACCATACCCGTGCTCGTGGGTTTCACCGAAGTGGTAAACGTCCGAGACCTGCATCACTTCGGGCTTCCCTCCCACATTAAGCTGACACGCCGAGATATAACTGGAATACTGTTAAAAGCAGTGTTAAACCCAGCTTGTTGTCAAATGACATGTTTATTTCATCTGTGACCTGTAACGTTGTTTACCATTTCACTCTAGTGGTTTTCATGTGTGTGTTTTGGGATGGTAAATATCCCATGGAAATATCCCAGGAAAATGTGTTTAGCGAACCTTAACAATTTATAGCTCAAGTGTTGTAAATGGCCTCACTGACACCCCTGTGAGACACTGATTTTCGGTACTTTTGAGTATTAGTTTTATAATGATAACAATTTTCCCAGTATTTTGTCCAGATCCCCAATGACAAATTCTGTCTCTGGCTGATAGACATAGGTGACGCCTTGTTTGTAAACACTCAAAGTAGACCCTACCTGACCTTTCATGTCTGTATATTTTCTCGTAAATGACCCAAACGGATACAGTCTTAATCCACTGGCTTTATCCTTCTGAGAAACCCACACATAATGTAGTAAGTGTAAAAATATGAGTCACTAAGATAGATGTAATAATATGGTTAACATCTTAACAGCGTTAGAAATTGGCACTTGTCCTCTTGTCCTTGCCAAACTGGCCAATAGTTAAGGTATCATAAGCACAAGTAGAATTTTGCCATTTTTACAATGTTTTAAGGGATTTGCTGTATGTTATTATTATAATTTGTTTATTTGTTGTTTAACGCCGCACTCAGCAATAGTCCAGCTATATGACCGCGGTCTGTAAATAATCGAGTCTGGACCAGACAATCCAGTGATTGATATCATGAGCATCGATCCATGCGATTGAGAGCGATGACATGCATCAACCAAGTCAGCGAGCCTGACCACCCGATCCTGCTAGTCGCCTCTTACGACAAGCATAGTCGCCCTTTACAGCAAGCATGGGTTGCTGAAGACCTATTCTACCCCGGATCTTCATGGGGCGTTATCATTATAAGGACTAGTGGACTAAAATGTTAGTTTCTATCGCTAGTTATATGACAAGAAAAGCCAGATTTCGTCTTTATACATCTTGTAACATTTCATCATGTTATATCACCATGACAATGTAATGTTACCATGGTAACACTCTGTGAAATATACACTACATGTCTTGCAGGGGATGATGACTTCAGAGCCTACAGGTTCGACAAGGACAAAACTTTATCATGGCTGAAGCTAAAGGTTGGAATTCATTTTCATTAATTCTTTTTGTATCCCTCTGATCATATTACCCCATGCTTGTCTGAAACTGACATCTGTTAAAGATCCGCCAGTTATGAAAATTGGCCTTAATAGTGTACAATGTTGTATGTTGTTTTTGAAATTAGTGAGGAATGAAATTTGGCCTTAACATCTTATATCGTTTAGAGACCTGTCACTTAAAAAAATTGGCCTTAACATTGTAGCTCTTTTGGAGATTTGCAAGTAATGAAAGTTGGTCTTAAATTGTATCTCGTTTGGAGATCTGTCAGGCATGAAAATTGGCCTTAACATTGTATCTCCTTATGAGATTTGCGAGTGATGAAAGTTGGCCTTAAATCCTATCTCGTTTGGAGATCTGTCAGTTATGAAAATTGGCCTTAACATTGTTTCTCCTTATGAGATTTGCGAGTGATGAAAGTTGGCCTTAAATCCTATCTCGTTTGGAGATCTGTCAGTTATGAAAATTGGCCTTAACATTGTTTCTCCTTTGGAGATTTGCAAGTGATGAAAGTTGGCCTTAAATCGTATCTCGTTTGGAGATCTGTCAGCTATGAAAATTGTACTAAACATCGTACGTCTTACGAAGCATGGCTGCTGTAATACAACATTGTCATCTTGACACAAGAAAAATCATGTTGTTATATTCCATGAACTGTTACCATGGTTACAGACGGAGATTGTGGCCGATGTCCTCCAGCAGAAGGACGTCAGTGTCAGCTCCTCCGGTGCCCACAGTTCTATATTCATCCGCAGCAAGAAGGAGGAAGCTGTCGACAAAGGTAGGGGAGAGAACATGGCCAGTTAGCCTGTTTGTTTGTTTGTTTGTCAAACATTCTCCTTGGTACTACCAGGTTTAGAAAAGAGTAAAGCATTACTCACACAGGCTAGTAGCCAGAAGTGTCCCATCTCTGGTGAATGAACGTGGATTAACGACTAAACTCTACATATCACTTCATCAAGGTCTGACAAACCCTCAATTAGGAGGTGAATATCCTTGCCAGCTGATCAACATGAAGTGAGCGAATTCATCCGGATCAGTGTACCTGACTTCTGTATCCCTAAATGCGAAAGTCAACATCGACGTGCAGTTCCTAATGGAGAATAAAAAGTGCTGCGCTTTGTTGTGGATATTTTATGTGTTAAACCATGTATGAAAACCATGTTCAGGAGTAGAATAAACCACTGGCCCTTTGGACCGTGGCCAGTTAAAATTGCGAAGCACTTGCTGTAATCATAAAGTAGAGGGCCTCTCTGGCTAGCCAAAATTCACCCCTTCTCTTTGTATGTTTAACTTTTGTGTGAACCATATCTGAAAACACCTATGAAAGCCATGAATGAACGCAACATGATCCATGTACGAACAAAATATGAACCATGTGAACACAATATGAACCATGTGAACACAATATGAACCATGTACGAACACAATATGAACCATGTGAACACAATATGAACCATGTACGAACACAATATGAACCATGTGAACACAATATGAACCATGTGAACACAATATGAACCATGTATGAACAATATAAACCATGTATGAACACAATATGAACCATTTATGAACACAATATGAACAATGTATGAACACAATATGAACCATGTGTGAACACAATATGAACCATGTGAACACAATATGAACCATTTATGAACACAATATAAACCATGTATGAACACAATATGAACCATGTATGAATACAATATGAACCATGTATGAACGCAATATAAACTCATGTATGAACACAATATAAACTCATGTATGAACACAATATAAACCATGTATGAACACAATATCAACCATGTATGAACACAATATCAACCATGTATGAACACAATATCAACCATGTATGAACACAATATCAACCATGTATGAATACAATATGAACCATGTATGAACGCAATATAAACTCATGTATGAACACAATATCAACCATGTATGAACACAATATGAACCATGTATGAACACAATATGAACCATGTATGAACACAATATGAACCATGTATGAACACAATATGAACCATGTATGAATACAATATCAACCATGTATGAACACAATATCAACCATGTATGAACACAATATGAACCATGTATGAACACAATATGAACCATGTGTGAACACAATATGAACCATGTATGAATACAATATGAACCATGTATGAACACAATATGAACCATGTATGAACACAATATGAACCATGTATGAACACAATATGAACCATGTGTGAACACAATATGAACCATATATGAACACAATATGAACACAATATGAACCATGTATGAACACAATATGAACCATGTATGAATACAATATGAACCATGTATGAACGCAATATAAACTCATGTATGAACACAATATCAGCCATGTATGAACACAATATCAACCATGTATGAATACAATATCAACCATGTATGAACACAATATCAACCATGTATGAACACAATATGGTCCATGTATGAACACAATATGAACAATGTATGAACGCAATATGAACCATGTTTGAACACAATATGAACCATGTACGGACACATTATGAACACAATATGAACCGTACCAGTACATGGATTGTTATAGTTATACATTTAAGAATTTTGTATCCTGAACGGTGTGATTCATTTCAATGTCTGCTTCTTGTCAATGTGTTGAAGACAACTGACAACTGTTGTTTCAGATCAGTACATCAAGTATGCCTGTGGCATGGTGTCAGACTATCTTCCACCGCTCATAGCCGAGGATCTCAGAGACTACCTCGGGTAAGATGTTACTTTGTCATGGTTTATGTCGTGTTGTGGACTACGGCACAGCCTCGCATCACTCAGTAGGAAGACAGGCACCGTCCAGAGATCTAAAACATCACTGCTTGCTGTGTAGAAGTCAATAATTGTGGGTTCAAATCTCACATTGCTGTCATGGAAGGCGTCCAGTGACATTCTGTCCTTCCACATCAAGTTAACCAGCTTAACCCCGTGAAGATCTGGGATAGAATAGACTGCCTCCGTGGTCTGGTGGTAGAGTGTCCGTCCGGAGAGCGGAAGGTCCGGGGTTCGATCCCCAACCGCGTCATACCAAAAGACGTTAAAAGGTGGTACTTGGTTACCCTTTCGGGTCGGCATTAAGGGGCTTAAACAAGGACTGGTCGGCTCGGAGTCAGTATACTGTGTCTGAGTGGGGTATTTATGTTAAACTGCGGCATGGTATCTCAGTGAGCTAGCATTATAAATCAGTCCGGACTAGTACAAGCAGCCACGCACACACACACGTGCATGCACGTCGCTATATAAGTGCAATAATCTTGGACGCGACGTTAAACCCCATTTCACCTCACCTGAGATAGAATACGTCTTCAGCAATCCATGCTTGTCATCAAGAGGTGACTAATGGGATCGGGTGGTCAGGCTCGCTGACTTGATTGATGCATGTCATCGTATCCCAAATGCGTAGATCGATGCTCATGATGTCAATCACTGGATTGTCTGGTCTATGATCAATTATTTACAAGCCCTTCACGTTGCTGTGTAAAAGAATAACTGTCTTTTTTGCTGAATTGACAAAATAACACCAGATCATATTCACCATTTGTTTAGAAGATTAATTGAGATTGCAAGAAGCATATGTTTTATTCATTGCCTTAGAATGGACTTCGTTAGATACTGTCCGTCACCACACTTATCATTAAGGAAATAATATGGCTTTGATTTTATTGCTCATTGATAGACCAGGGGACATAACTGAATCTTTCTTGACTTAATTATTTTAGTACACTGTTAACATGGCCACTAGTTTCAGTTAAAAAAAAGTCTGGTCATGAATAATCCCCTTGTTACAGAGTCGCAGACATCCCTGACCCGATCAAGAGTCCGTCAGAGGAACCGCCAGCCAAGGTAGGGATGGTTTGCTCAATAATTAGGCCGCATTCTTACATTATTTAAAAGATTGACAAAACAGACAGTCCTTGGTCAATGGCATGTCATTGTACTCACTTTTGACAATAAAAATATACCTACCACCATCTCCCCCAAGATCCCCCCACCCCCACCCCCACCCACACCCCACCCCCACCCACACCCCACCCCCTCTTCACCCACACCCCAGCACCCCCCCAGTTTTGCATAGATTGCCAAATGTCATAGCTCGAAAGTAACGGTGTGGAGGGTCTCCAAGTCACTTCTGAAATCTTTGTTTCAGAGGGTCAAGCTGGAAGACATCGCTCCGAGTGAAGACTACAGCAAAACCCATGGGGTCCAAAAACAAACCTCCAAGGTGAGTGGTTGGTTAGTTAGACGCAATTTCTTACATTTTGACATGCGCTGTCACGGGAAGCTGTCACAGTATTCGACGTAATAAGCGCCCAGGTCGCGCTCAAAATTAGAAATAGGGGGCTCTTATTAGACTATTATTTTGGTGAAAAAAACAGTTAAAGGATAAATTTCATGGTTTATGCTGACAGCCTGAAATGTTTATACACGACAGATATATTTTTCCAGAATTTAATTGCCCATAATTAAGTGTGCATATAACACACGAGTGCGTATAATACACGAATAAATAAGTCTTGTGTACATTGATCAATCGCAAGGGGTGCTAACTGGGATTGTTCACTAGCCAATATATTAGCAAATATCGCCCTGGGTGCTTATTACATCGGATACGGTATTGAGTAATATTGTACAAGACCACCTCTCTTTTGTGATTTGAATTGAAGACTTACTCAACATGCTCAAATGGGAATTTATGAAAAAGAGCAAAAATATGCACTGAAACAGAATTTTAAAAATGTCGAATGTTGAAACATACCTGTAGGTTTAAAATCAGCAAAAGCCCCTGTATTCACTGTAAGAAGCAGCCAGCTCCAATAAGCACTCCCTGAACAACGTCTAGACCAGTCCGTAAATATTCTTTATAAGCTCAAAGACTAAAAGTTAGCATTACAGTCTATATTTTCTGGTGTCTTTATTACAGATATTTTTCACAGAAAACATAAGTGTAGAAGGCACATGTACTTGCCTTGTAACCATTATGGATTTTTTTAGTTTCATGAACATTTGAACGAAAATTGTTCAGTAACCATGGTAACATTCGTTTTCTAACACCAGAATTAAATTGTTGTGTAAGGTTTTAATTAGCACCCAACTTTGGCAGTTTTCTAATTCCCCTGGGTGCCTACTTTGGCGAATACTGTAATTCCAATTTTCATGAATTATAGCTGGTGGATTCAGGATTGCCTTTGTGATCTATCTATCTATCTATCTATCTATCTATCTATCTATCTATCTATCTATCTATCCGGCTATGAAATAAACAGGTACCACATGTGTGTGGTTTCAGGAGACGAAGATGACCGTGGCCCAGAAGAAGCTTAGCAAGGTCGACAAGTCCGGCATGAAGAGCATCTCAAGCTTCTTCTCACCAAAGGTCAAGACCTGACCTTGACCTTCAACAACCTGACCTTGACCTTCCAGACAGCATGTAGGGGTGCAACAATGCGGAAGGATGCGATACACATCAGGATTCACTGGCCATGATATGAATCATATCTAAAGACACTGGCCATGGTACAATATGTATCAAGTTACACTGGCCACGATACAATACGTATCTCAACATGCCAAACAATGCCAACAAACTGGACCTTCCTTGTTCACTGTCCATCCCAAATGTAATGGGGAAGCCAAAAGCTCATATTTATCCCTGCCTTCTGCCTTGTTTAGCCTGTGTGTGAAGCCCTTAGTTTCTGGGCCCACTTGCACAAAGCAATCTTAGCGCTAAGACAATTGTAGGCCTATGTTAAAGTATGGGAGTTGCAATCATTTGCAATTGTTTAGCCTGTGTGTGAAGCCCTAAGTTTCTGGGCCCACTTGCTCAAAGCAATCTTAGCGCTAAGACCATTGTAGGCCTATGTTAAAGTATGGGAGTTGCAATCATCTTAGCGCTAAGATTCCTTTGTGCAAGTAGGCCCAGGTGTTCCTGTTAGCTGGGATTAGAATGAACATGATCCAGTGAATAGCATGTGAAGTAGACAACTGTTGAACATGTATAACCAGTATACAGCTGGGTGCCGTTGTACGAAGCGATCTTAGCGCTAAGGTGGTCGTAGCTCTCATACATTAACATAGACTTACGACAGTCGTAGCGCAAAGGTTGTTTTTTATGATTCCCTGGTATAACAAGCGGCTTATTCTTTTATTAAGTAAATAAACAGACATATTTTGTGTTATGTTTTGCGATACATGTCTGTATGTATTCTGTATCGTATTGAAGGCCACGTATTGTGGTGCGTGAGAGTTTCAATGAATCGTTTCACCCTTACGAACCTGGCATTGCGATGAACCCTCGCCAGGGATGGGAATTAACCGTCTTCCTCGTGCTGATATTGAATGTCGTTATGGCTACTGATATTGAATGTCGTCATGGCTACTGATATTGAATGTCGTCATGGCTACTGATATTGAATGTCGTCATGGCTACTGATAATCAGCTGAAACTAAACCTTCCCATGCCACAGCTGACTTTAGATAAAAAGATCACATTTTTGTGATCAGTCATGAAATCACAAGTTTACTTTGTCTTTGTGGTGGTTTGTAAGTAGAGCGCCTTGATGGGGATCGGGTGTACTGATTGCAGGTCACCATGACCTAATGGGTTGGATAGGTGCTCATGCTTTCAGTCACTGGTTTTCCAAATCCAGATATGAATATTAATGCCTTAACGTAGCCCTAATTTGTTTGAATTTACCTGTGGCTGCATGTCATAAGAGGCGACTAACAGGATCGGGTGGTCAGGCTCGCTGACTTGGTTGATGCATGTCATCATATCCAAATTGCGATGATGGGTGCTCATGATATCAATCACTGGATTGATATGTCATATGGCTGGAAACAAACGTGGTTGCGGACGGGATATATGGAAGGCAAAAATGTAGCTGGACGTACCAGAACCTCATCCCTGCTTGTACGTCTTGTTATTTATGGTGGTTGGAATTTGTTAAATGTTGCTTTGACACAGTTTGAAGAATCAGTTGTATTTTGAGAGAATATTTATAAGAATTTCAGTTGAAACAACAAGTGGATATTATTATGATCATTTACATGTGGGGGGCTGTCGGGTAGCCTAGTGGTTAAAGCGTTCGCTCGTCATTCCGAAAACCCAGGTTCGATTCCCGTCATGGGTACAATGTGTGAAGCCCATTTCTGGTGTCCCCCGCCGTGATATTGCTGGAATATTGGTAAAAGTGGGTAAAACCATACTCAGTCACGCATTTACATGTGGCCAGGAAGTCATGGGAGGGTTACAGCAGGGTTGTGTCCCTTGGGTCAGGGCTGGGGAAACTCCTCCCAGGACAGAGAGCTGTGGGGAGCTTGAAGCCTGATGTCCCGAGTTCATGCTGGTTATGTTATCCTTGGCCTTAAAGCTCCATACCCTCATTTCAATAAAATGATGAACAGTTGTGTTAAAGCCAACTAGTTTAATCACTTATTTGCCTCCAAATGATCATTGATTTGAACTTATCTTCCAAAACTGGCTTCCACAGAAGATATTGCTTGGATGATATTGAATCACTATGCTTTGCAGACCATTGTGATGTCTTCAATTACCTAATGTCACAATCAAATGACATCACTAATCTCTCAATCTCATTAAAAATCAGACCTCAGTTCTCACTACCGCTAAACAAAGATCTGAGGACATCCCATTACGGGTCACGTCAGAACGACCTTTCATCCGACCAATCAGAGCATCGCTTACCAGATTATGAAAGTGACTGATAGTTACGGGTTTAACCACTGTATCCATACAATCTAGACTATCTATTGGCCATTCCAGAATGTTCTTTTCTTCAGGTTTCAAATTTGTAATCGAAATTTGTCAAAATATGTTTCGAAGCGTAGTCGCCAATTTGAAATAAGTGCCGTAAAGCACGAGAAAGCTGCCTTCTGATTGGTCATTCCATTGGTCGGTCAAAGTTCGCGCAATGTCGGTCTGACGTGTCCTGTAATGGGATGTCCTCAGATCTTTGTTTAGCGGTAGCGAGAACTAAGATCTGATTTTAATGAGATTGATTGTGATGTCGTCAATTACCGAACGTCACAATCAAATGACATCTCTAATCTCTCTGCCTCCGAAGCTGGTTAGCTGTAATCTTTCCATCCCATGTCTGGTGTCCCCCGCCGTGATATTGCTGGAATATTGCTAAAAGCGGCGTAAAACCATACCCACTCACTCACTTTCCATCAAGGAAACAGATTATTACTGATTTTAAGCTGAAATCGTTAGAAGATTAATGGTGGATGATAAATAGAATCTCATCCGAGTGTCTCTTGATATCACATATATCAACACCCATCGATCAAAGTTTAGAACCCCTGGGGAAGCCTCGGTGTTTCAAACTTTTATTGATTCATGTTAATATATTTGATTGCAAAAGAAACATGGGTGAGACAAGTTTGGATTTGTTTTGGTTTTTTTCAGTTGGCCTTAATTTTAAACTGTGTCCATGTTTGAAATCGGGTCATGTCATCACACTCACCATCTCCTTGTTGAGATATTGATGGAAGTGTTACCATGGATACTCATTGTTCCCGTTTACCAGTGATTACCAGTTTTTTACTTGTGAAATTAGGTAATTCATGTGACTGCCAGTCCCTGTGGACTGGCAAATAATGTACCTCATAAATCTTTGTTGTTGAACAAAACATCAGTGATATTCATATGAGTATATTTTTCAAACGAAATCAGCTTGTCTGTTACCATCAGGGTTTCCCCTTGTCTGTTTCTAGTGCAAGGAAATAACATTTCACTTTGCGTCAAGGTTAAAAATATATTTGTAGCAACTTATTCTCGAAATATTGGAAAAAAAGAAGAGAGAATTGTGACTGAACTTTGTGTGAATGATGTGTAGATCTAATTTAGTTTCTTCAGAGATGATGTCATTGCATTGAACATGATGTTAAAAGAATTAAAACTATTTAATTTTCATGTGGTTTTTTTTATTTTATATTGTACATATATACTATTTTGATGTGACATGAGATAAACACATATTGATGATTTGAGATTTGCCGAGCGCGCTCCCCCGCCTCGGCCTCGGTTAAACGGCTCATCGTCTATAACGCCCACCAATTATTTGGACCCCATTGGTAGCGTTGTAGAGAGGGACCACTGTAGTTGGGACTGACAAATATTACAGGGGACTGGTAATTTATAGAGATACTAGTCCACCAGGACTCTCTGTTTCAAAATCCAGCGGGAACGTCGATACTGTTGTGTTCCTACAACTAAGTGCGTGTACTAGTGCGTGTACTAGTGCGTGTACTAGGGATGCAACGAATACACTGTGAGGCGAATACGATTCATATCACGAATATTGGGTATCGAATACGAATATTAATTCACAATTACAATAACAAATCAGCAGTTTATGTATTATTTATTATATTCAGTGAAACAATAACATCATAAATTACATGACATGTTTGTTAATTATTAATAAATTATTCGTTTATATACTGCACTTATCCAGGTACTAGTACCTGCTCAAATGCCACAATGATCAGTGACATCAATACTGTCAAATTAAATATTATTAGAGTGTTGTCATTGAAATAAATCTATGCATATAATATGTTCTTATGGAGGTGACTCTGTTTTTACTGCTTTGCTTTATTTGGATAAAAGCTTTTCCTTTTTACAATTTTGGAGCCAAATATTTTACTTGGATCTGTTCAAAGGTCAATTTCAACTTTGGCACTAAAATGGGTACATACAGTTGAACTGCACCCTATAGTTATTGATTTTAATGCATCGTGATATTGTATCCATTGCAATGAACATGCGAAGTTTGCCAGATGTAGTAAGAATGAAGTGAATGGTCTTAGTCCCCGTCAGTATATCTGTATATCTGTCCATAGTGATGGCTGTTTAAAACATCAGGGCCCACTTGCAAAAAGCGATCTTAGCGCTACAACTATTGTAAGCCTATGTTAAAGTATGGGAGTTACGATCATCTTAGCGCTAAGATCGCTTTCTGGCTCCTCTACTTTGGAAGAGGAGGTAGCCTAGTAGTTAGGTCATGATATTGCTGAAATATTGCTAAAAACGGCATAAAACCTCACTCACTCACTCACTCACTCACTCACTCACTCACTCTCAAATTGTAATGATGAAATGGTTTGCAAAAACTAAAGATTGAATTAAATGTTTGTTATGTGTTGGGTGCAGATAGACCGAGCCCTTAATTTTACCACTAATACTACTACTACCACTCATCAATCCAAATTGCATGCATCAATGCTCATGATATTAATCACTGGATTGTCTGGTCCAGACTCAATTTTTTACAGACCGCTGTCATATAGCTGGAATATTGCTGAGTGCAGTTAAACAACAAACAAACCAACTACTACTACTACTGCTGCTGCTGCTCCTGCTGCTACTACTACCACAACTACTACTACTATTAATGCTGCTACTACCACTACTACTACTACTACTACTATTAGTGTTGCTACTACCACTACTACTACTACTATTAGTGCTGCTACTACTACAACTACTACTACTACTACTGCTGCAGCACCTTCAACACCACACCGACTTTTCTTCACTCGTGAATGCCTGTGGTACTATCTGTCACAAGAGGTTTAACTGGGAAGGGATTGTGGGTTAGAATTGGCCTCCAGCAACCTATACTGGGCAACAAAATGGATGGGATGGTCAGGCCTGGTTGATGGCATGTCATCCTGCCCAACGCCATGGATCGTTGCTCACAAACTCAATCACAAGATTGTCTGGTCCAGAACCATTTACATACCAGGGTCATAGAACTCGGCAATATTACAGATATATGACGGCGGTCTGTGAGTAATCGAGTCTGGACAACACAATCCAGTGATTGACATCATGAGCATCGATCTACGCATTTGAGATACCATGACATGCATCAACCAAGTCAGCGAGCCTGACCACCCGATCCCGTTAGTTGCCTCTTATAACACGCATAGGTTGCTGAAGACCTTTGCTCTACCGGATCTTCACGGGTCTGCAAGCCAAAAAAATAAATAGTTTCCATGACGTAATCGATTTTATTCAGTATACTCCTTCCACACACACACATACACGTGCATGCACGTCGCTATATAAGTGCAATAATCTTGGACGCGATGTTAAACCCAATTTCACCTCACCTCACCTCCCCCCCCCCCCCCACACACACACACAAACACACCCCAAACCCTTGTTTTTTACATTATCTACGTTTAAGATGATTATGTTTATCAGGGGTGAGCAAACCGTGTTGTATTGTACACTCCGGACTGACGTGTCAATAAAAATAGATTTAAATCTAAATCTCAGATAACTTGACTAAATAATCGAATATGTATGT